CTCATTCCACAGCTCATTAGGCAGATTCCCAACACGGCCATAGTGCTCTCCACCTACGAGCTCATTGTCTATCTGCTGGGTCAGCCCTCCAAATAAAGCCCAGATTAACAAGCACAAAGACTCTTGGAACTGTAGTTAAAGGGGGGGACATGAATCCTGTTGCTTGAGTAATGGGATGCAGGTTTGCAAAATCCAAAGACTTTAAAAAGCTGTTTTTTATTTGGATGCATACACACACTATCAGATGTAATAATTTTGTTGCTTGAGTTTATTCTGCATCCTAATTGACTCTTTTTAATATCAAACGTGAAGATATGATTATACATTTAACTGCAAATGTTTAATATTGCGTCATTGTACAGAAAGAGGTCACCTGAAGATACATAATGCTATTAAGTTAACTAAATTATTATTTTTCTTTTTTTAGTGTTAAGTTTTAGTGTTTGTTCAGTCATGATTCTGTCCCACACTGCTGTATGGTACTCATCCAAAGATGCTGATGCTGAAATTTCCAGTGGAGTTGTAGTGAATGGGGGCTGCTAAAATGGAAATAAGGCAAAGGATAGCTCTTTGGGGACCTATTGCATTCTTACTTGTTCGCTCACACTGCATTACATTGCAGTAGTTTTGAGTTCTGCATCATGTAGTGATCTGGAGTTTGACCAAGTATATTTGTTTTAGTTTTTAGTTTTGTCTGTTTACTCTCTGAATGTGAAGTGTGTCCTCTTTTACAAAAAAAGAAACTAAAATGCATATGCGACCAATGGTTCAATAAAGTGCATAGTGATAAATAACTTGCCTTTCTTATACTTACTACTTTTTTTGTTTTGTTTTGAAGAAACAGTTACTTCTCAGCTTTATTTCTTAGTTGGCAGCCAGTATGCATTTTATATCTTTTCTTGAATACAGCTAGCTTTGCAATTTTGCCTACATAGTAGTGCAAACGTGGTGCTCTGTAGAATGTGCTACTAGCAAAGGGTTTCACAATTAGTTATATTAACATGTAAAACAAATGGAAATCTATCTTTTTTACAAAACACTTTAGGAGTCCCTTTAATAATAGTAATATGCTCTTTAGGGTGGTTCTAAAGGAAAAGCATTGCTGAAGTCATTATTTAACATAGTTAAAGAGACACTCTGGCCAAAGTGGAAAATGTCACTAGTCACTATTGCTGTGTCTGTTGTGAACTACTCAAATCAAATCACGTCTGTCACATCAGATTCACACAGGTGGAAATTGAGTGAAAATCTTAGGTGTGTAGCCCCCTTTTAGAATTTAAATAAAAAATATATATATAAATATCTAAGAAGAAAAAGAGATATAGCACTTATATATACTTATGTATATATACTTACTTATGTATATATATATATACACACTGACTCTGAATATACACAATATACACTAGTATTGCACTATTCCAATGCACAGTTATACAGTAATAAGTTATGAAATAAAACTATGAAATGTGCTGTTGCAGGTACACAAGGATAGAATACTGATATAGAATCTTCCAGATTATACAAGATGTGGATATGAGATGTGCAAGATGTCAATCTATGTGTGTAAGTACAGATTTGCTAGATTGAAGGTGCAGAGGATCAGAGTGAGTCTGATGAGATGTGGATGAGGTGTAGCTTGTCCATTGAGATGATGACTCAGAGGTGCAGTGACAGGCCTATAGACCGATACACCAGCACTACTGACTGTTCAGCAGCCTGATGGCCCGGGGGAAGAAACTGTCTCGGAGCCAGCTGGTTCTAGACTTTATGCTTCTGTACCTCCTCCCGCTCGGCAGCTGTGAGAACAGACATTGGCTTGGGTGGGTGGAGTCCTTTAGAATCCTCCTGGTCTTCCTCAGGCAGCGGCTGGTGTATAAATCCAGGAGGTTTGGGAGCTGGACCCCGGTGATGTGCTGGGCTGTCCGCACCACCCTCTGCAGAGCTTTCCGCTCAATGGCAGTGCAGTTTCCATACCAGGAGGTGATGGAGGCTGTTAGAATGCTCTCCACAGTACATGTGTAAAATGTTCTGAGGATGCAAGGGTTCATGCCAAACCTCTTCAGCTGCCTGAGGTAGAAGAGGCTTTTTTACCAGCTGTGTGGTGTGTTCGCTCCATGTGAGTTCCTCTGAGATGTCTGATCCTACAGTGGGGCTGTAGTAATCTATAGTGAGAGGTTTTCCAGTTTAAAAACCAGGAAAGCCCCCTTCTCATGATGTATCTTGAAGGTGGGAGGAACTACAACTATAGCTTGGGTGTTTTTGGGGGGGGCAGAGTGTGTGTGTGTTTTTCATCTTTTTGTTTTTAGTTAGCTAGTAAGTACACAAGGAAAAACAGCCAACAATACTGCTAGGAAGCGTCTTATTGAACCTGTAACTGTCTTCAAATTATTACAAAGTTAGCAGCTGGCATTTTGCCTTCTTTTCTCTGGCTGAAAGCTTAAACTTTCTGGTGTCCGTTTTGTGCTGAGTAAAGACAGAATCCCTGTTTTTCTGTGATTTTTGTTGATCAGTTGAGGTAAGAGTTACACTAATAATAGCTTGGTTGTATTTATGAGCCTGTTGCTCAGTGGCTAAGCTAATAGTCAGGATTGGTTGACACCAGGACTGTCTGATGTATTTGCATAATAGGGTATTTTAGAACAGTAAAAACAAATGTATTAACCCAGCGGACCCCACACTATGCACATTTCTTGCTTTCTCTTCTGTAACCTTGATTCAGTTTGTTAACTGATTAATAAGCCCTTGAAGCGATGGATGTGATAGAGTAAGATAAAAATAAAATTGTACAGAGCATACAGTGTCACAGAGCAGGTACTATTTGGGTGGTGGCTCATTCTCAGCACTGCAGTAACACTGATGTGGTGGTGGTGTGTTAGTGTGTGTTGTGCTGGTACGAGTGGATCAGACACAGCAGTGCTGCTGGAGTTTTTAAACACCTCAGTGTCACTGCTGGACTGAGAATAGTCCACCAACCAAAAATATCCAGCATCCTGTGCGCAGCGTCCTGTGACCACTGATGAAGGACTAGAGGATGATCAACACAAATTGTGCAGCAGCAGATGAGCTATCGCCTCTGACTTTACATCTACAAGGTGGACTGACAAGGTAGGAGTGTCTAATAGAGTGGACAGTGAGTGGACACTGTTTAAAAACTCCAGCAGCACAGCTGTGTCTGATCTACTTGTACCAGTACAACACGCCCTAACACACCACCACCACGTCAGTGTTACTGCAGTGCTGAGAATGATCCACCACCCAAATAGTGTCTGCTCTGTGAGGATCCACGGGGGTCCTGACCACTGAAGAACAGGGTAAAAGGGGGCTAACAAAGTATGCAGAGAAACAGATGGACTACAGTCTGTAATTGTAGAACTACAAAGTGCACCTATATAGTAAGTGGAGCTGATAAAATGGACAATGGGCATAGAAACAAGGAGGTGGTCACAATGTTATGCCTGATTGGTGTATAATCTAGGATATATCAGGGTGCCCCCAGTAGGGTCTGGTTGGGGCATTGTATGCTCTGTACAATTTTATGTTTTCCTTACTCTATCACATCCTTTGCTTGCAGAGCTAATTAATGAGTTAACAAATTGAATCAAGTGAAAAAATAAAAAAAAGTGTCTGATAAGGCTATAAGATGTTGAGCCACCAGAAGAGTCTCAGTGTACCTTGACCAGTTTACATCTTTACATCTCCATACGTCTCTGGAGCTGTCCTGGAGGGTTCTTCCAAAAGATGTTTTGATGATGTTGTTTGCCAGACCTGCTAAAAAACTAGCATAGACCAGCATACATTGTGTTTTGGACACTGGGTGGCCATCTAAATCAACACTAGACCAGCACAAACCAGTTTAGATCAGCACGGAGGCTCTAGTGGTCAGTGCCCTTTTTTCAGGGAAATCTCCCATAGGTGTTCAACTGGGTTGAGATCTGGTGATTGCAGAGGCCACGACATACGATTTACATGATGTTCATAGTTGCCACATCATTCAGTGACCCCTTGTGCCGTGAGTACGGGGACACTGTCATCCTAGAAGAGACCGGTCTAATCAGGATAGAAGTGTTTCATCATAAGATAAATGTGATCAGTCAATAACTTAGTATTTATTTGCAGTGAACCTTCCCTCTAAGGGAACATCTGGACCCAAACCATGTCAGCAAAATGTCCCTCAAAGCATAACAGAGCCACCAGACTTGCACTCTGCACTCGTTAGGTTTGTTTTTATTCTTTATTCAGGTTTTCCTTTAATTTGTCGCTCATCTGTGAGTTTCAAAACATACTCTTTAGAGGGTGTTGTTTTTAGTTTTTTTCTAAATGTATGCATAATTAAATGGTTAAGAATTGGTTAAATGGTTAAGAAAGTCATTCAGGGTGGCTTGATGTGAAATACTCTGTTCTAGATTAACTTACTGAGTCACTGTGGTGGTGATAGGAACCTGAAGGTGCCTGAAGAGTTTAATGCCTCCCTCACAGAACGTAATTATTACATGAATTGATTGTGAACACACTGCCTGATGCCTGAGACATTATTTTACTGTGATTCTCAGAAGGTTTTGGCCTGACACATATTTTTAAAATCCAGTCATAGCGGATTCATGCATCAGCATTACATATAAAACTCAGAAGGTTCACTGGTGGTTTTGGGTGGTATATATAAAATGGCTATATTTTACTTGTACACACTGTGCCCTCTGGTTCCTATCAGCATCACTATAAAGAAATCTGAGTCTGTAACTTTCCTTACAATGAACCGTATCACATCAAAACACTCTGAATTACTTTATTTATATCAGTCGCAGAATTGTGCAGAATTGTTTTGGGAACTCAGTGAAATCCCCTTTAAGTGCTACAGCGCTACAGAGTTATGCGTGGTAACTCGCTCCCTCTAGTGTTGAAATGTCGAAGTGACTGTCCGCCCGAGGGGGACTTTTATTTTGATATCTATTCTCTCCGCTTGTAACACGGTCCCGCCTATCATTGTTGATTGACGCGCGCTTCTGTTACCGCGTGCACATATCAGATGTGTTGCTAGCAAAAAAAAACAACAACTTTAACACTAAATCTGCGGTTCTGCGATGGAGTTTATAAACCAGATCTTACTGCAGTACCCGCAGCTGCTGTATGCTGGAGCCGGGGCGACAGCGGTTGTTACGGGAGGCGCTCTGATTTACAAAGTAGCGAACAGGTATCGGCTCACAGCCTGGCCAGGCCTCGGTTTTCGCAGAGCTAGTCTCACAGCTAGCGGTAGCTAAAACACAAGCCAGCTGAAAAATACTGGTTTATTACCTTTAAGTGGATTCTGTTCTTTATTTAGTGGAGTGCATCGTGCAGTCAGTTTAGTTATCTAGCTAATAGCTAAAGACATATCAGGTTAAATGGCCAGCCTGGCTAAGTCTAGCCAGCGTAAGCCGTTTTAAATCCAGCTATTGACTGATGTTAGCAGACGAAGCTAAAGTCAGCTTCTTATTCCCCGGCTTCTTGTTCAAAATGTTCCGTTCCACCTTAAACGGCGAGAATATAATTGCTGCACCTTTTAAGGTGGAAGGGGAAAATGCAAACAAGAAGCCGGTGAATAAGAAGTTGACAGAAGCTTCTGACAGCTCGCTGCATCTTCCGTAACTTTAACTGTGTTTGTGAGGAAAAATAGGTACTTTTTTATCAGTTACTTTTTACTTATTAGCATTTATTTTCATCTTACGCGTGCAGTAACATCTGTGCTGCTCCGAGTTTTGAGTTGTATCTTATTTTAGACCAAACGAATCCCAGAATAAGAAGAATAGCGCCGAAAAAATACATTCCTAGATTACTAAAAAGTTTCGTTGCACTTTCAGATGTTGCTCGGTTGTTTTTTTAGGAAGGAGTCAGTATTTTACTACAGTATTTGAGTAAGTTATGGCTTTAGGCTACTCTACCAACCTCTTTGACCATGTCCATATACACCAAGTTGGCTGGTCAGTTTGCTGACTTGATCATTTCTTGTGAGATTTCGTAAAATCCTCTTAATAAAATGCAAGCCAAAAGTTCATAAGCAGGTGCATGAAATGGTTCCTTTTATGACTGGTTTGTGAAAAAATGATGTCTGTGTATTGCTGCATTTTTTAAACAGTATCATAAAAAATATACAAGTAAGTGAGCTAATTACACCATTTGTTCCATTAACAGTCACTGATTGTGGAAATCTGTTAAATGCATTTGTTTCTGTTCCTTAGGAAGAAACCAACGCATGTTAATGTGAATTGCTGGTTCTGTAATCAAGACACGGAGGTTCCGTATGGGAACAGAAACTGCTGGGACTGTCCGTACTGTGAGCAGTACAATGGCTTCCAGGAGGTATTGCCTTGATACATGAACGTTTATTATTTACTGAAAGTTAAAACATTGACCAGGTAGTCCTGATCTGCAATGTTTTAGGGTTTTTTATGTATATATTGTGTTTTTTTGTAGAATGGTGACTATAACAAACCAATACCGGCGCAATATATGGAGCACCTCAACCATGGAGTATCAGCTGGCGTTCCTGTGTCTGAGGCACCTAAGACGCTGCAGTGGGTCAACTGCCAAATGCTGCTGTGCAAGAAGTGCAACAGCAACCAAACGCTGAAGATTAAACAGCTGGCTTCGTTCACTCCCAGGGAGGAGGTAGGTTTTACATTCAACCTTTTACCTCTCATTTAAAACCAGATAAAAATTCTGTGGTTTATGCTGATGTTAGTGTTTAGAATTTAATGAAAACGTATTGACCGTCAATATTGGTCAATATAATATGGTTATATTTTACATTTAATTTTGTAACTTTTGTTAAATGGTGTTTTACCGGCAGTTTGATTAGCAGAAATAAACATTTTATATAAATATTGTAGCACTGGGGGTGGTGAATTTTCGTTGGCTTTGATTTCTGCTTATTTACGCCTTAATTTTTATTATTTTTCATTTGCTGTCTTCATGAAAAAAAAATAGTCTTGAGATAAAATGTACTTAGAGACATGCTAAAGATTAGGTTTGAATACACTTGACATGTTTTTGTAATACTAACCATTAGGGGTGGGAATCTCTAGGCACCTCACGATTCGATTTGTTTACGATTCAGAGGGCTGCGATGCGATTATAAAACGATTATCTATGCATCTCAATGCATCTTTTTTTTCTAAACATAATTTCGGGTCGGTCGCTGTGTCAGTAAATTATCTTCGAGACGGGGCGTGCGCAACATAGTGTGAAAGCCCTGTTTCTCAACGACTGAGAATTGGCGTGCAGACTGCAGATCACCTAGCAACGAGGTTTCGCCTGGCTAGTAGTGAACGAAAAAGGAAAAGAGAAAGACAGACGAACATTTGGAGACGAATGGGCTTATTTGCATTTATAAGCAATGTAGTTGGTTTCCTGATACGTTAAATCTGCAACGAGAGACTGTCAAACACTAAAAAGTTGCGAAGATGAAGTCGCTTCTCTTTCTAATTTTCCCGTTCCACCTAAAATGGTGCCACCTTTACCTTCGGCGCCTCAGTCAGAATTTAGGGTGGAACGGGAAAGTTCAGCAAGAAGCTGGAGAATGAGAAGCGACTTCAGCCTCGTAAAACACCCGAAAGCTGAAAGACATTTTACAAGAAACTATTCAACTTTTGAGGAAAAGTTTTCTGGCGGAGATGGAAGAAAAGTGGCTATAGCTAAAGCTTAAAGCAGAGTAGACTAAGTCCGCGTTTTCGTTTATATTGTTTAGTCTATACTAGGACATTACCACACCCTGAGACATACTGGACATTAAATGATGTGGCTCCCAAGGTGGTTTGCTTTTCGTTGAAAGGTCAAAATGGCTCTTCTTATCATTTGGGTTGTGACTCCTGACCTAACCTGGCTTTTAATGCAGAGGGAGCCAGTCGGATTTCTTGCTCATCCAGTGGTGTTTTTGTTATGTGCCGCCACAGACTGTCCGGGCGCTGCACTTCCGCACTTCCAAGTTCTGCCCTTTGCGTTCCGTCTACATTACGTTATAAATGAAATATTCAGAAAAACGATTTTTGACGTTGAATGAATCGATTCAGAATCGTGCACGTCCGCATCGCGATGCATCTAAGAATCGTTTTTTTCCCGCAACCCTGCTAACCATGATGGTACGTTGTGTTCGAATTTGTGAGTTGGGTTTTTATTGCAATAATGTAGGTAAATAAGGTGTAACTCACATTAGATTCCCCAGTGGCTAACAGTTTAAAAGTTTGCCCAATCATCTAAAGATCACAAGTTGAAATACCAGTGATGCCACGACTAAAACAGTATCAGCATGTTATCAGCAATGTTTTGCTCATACTAATAATAACATGGATCAGTAACATTGGCCAATATTACTGGGTGACCAAGTCATTGGTCAGGCCGTAGTTAAACCTTATGCAGCATTTACCGTAGAGCCATAGATCTTTGCTCCAAAGTTAAACTTTCTGTAACTTTGGCCTTGCTGACAGATTGTTGAACCACAAAGTAGTTTTTCCAGAAATATATCTTTTTGCCCATACATGTTGACTGCAGTTTTGGAAAGTCATAGCTCCTGATAAGAATCTTGTACAAGAAGATTATTCATCAAGGCTGACTGGCTCACACTTGGAGAGGAAAAACATGAGCAGTTTTATTCATATTGTTTAATTTAACCCAAATGTTAAATGGTCTTTGAGCATTTCCAAGCAAATCAGTCTCTTTTTATTGCTTCTGCAGGACAATTATGATGAAGAAATTGAGGTGTACAAGCATCACCTTGAGCAGACCTACAAATTGTGCAGGCCTTGTCAGACGGCAGTGGAGTATTACATCAAGCACCAGAACCGCCAGCTGAGGGCTGTGCTGTTCAATCACCAACTCAGACGCAGCCGTGATGCCGACAAAGCCTTCGTGAAAGTAATTATCCTAAATTAGATCTGTAGTGTACTAGATTAATTTCTACAGTCAGTTTTAGAACGGGCTGCATTGCTTAGATAAATTAGAAAAGTTAAAAAAAATTAATTTCAGCAATGTTACAGCTGTCTGTGGCGAGGCACTGTTGACTGTTTTGAAATTTCTGAATGGGCTACATGGTGCAGTACACTTAAGGATAAGTACAAACAGTGTGTGCCTAACGACTATGCTGGTGTCTTAGTTGGTACTACAAAAAAATCATATATACACACACATACATACATAAATACACCCAAACACACACATACAGCAGCACACTACCACCACATTAGTGTCACTGTAATGCTGAGAATGATCCACTGCCTAAATAATACCTGCTCTGTGGTGGTCTTTTAGGGGTCTTGACTACTGCAGAACAGGATAAAAGGGAGCTAACAAAATATGCAGAGCAGGATATTGTTATGTACACACTGCTTATGCTGAGGTTAAAATTTTCTGCAGCTGTCCAGTAGCTCTTCTCCCTGTTGATGCAGAATAATGCTAACCAATGGCAAGCAGCTATCAGGTCACATACACAGAGCTGGGCAGTTAGCACACTCCTGCAAAGGAGTGCAACTGAGCCGTGTCGTTGCACCAGCAGCAGCTCAAAAATGTGTCAGTGCTTGGCTACACTCGGAGGATGGGAGTGTTAGCCCTTATTCTCCCAGGATTGTAGCTCTTTAGCGTTAAGTGGGGAGCGGCATAGTATGAAGCAGTTATCACTAGCAGACAAATTAGTAAGAAAAACCTGTATCCAAAATAAACAAATAGGTGCAGTGTTTCACAGCATGTATTTCCACCTCTTATGTAAATGTGTAATACTTAAGTGTTTGGTTTTATGTTTTGGACTGCCAAGTTTTGAAATAATGCAGCGTAATGCATTAGTGTCAGTTGATCATTGTGCCTGTCTGTTGTGTATTCTCTGCACATGTTTTGTTTTTTTCTCTCTGTTTTGTATGTGTATATATGTGTACGTATGTATGTTATACATATATATACATATGCGAGTAGTGAATGTCTCCGGAATTTACAGTTTTACTCTCAAATTACTGACAATGATTAATTTGCACTTTTGCCTTTATAATGATGTTCCTGGTTACCACACTTTTGTAAGAGCAGATAAATGAGCGTTGGTGATGTCCAAAGATAGGGAAAGACCTGTTCCCTCTTGTTCAGTTTGTCAGTTCTAACTGCTGCTGTTTCGTTTCCAGCCATTTCAGACTTGCCGTACCAGCTTCAAAAATTCTCGCTGTGAACATACCAACTGATCAGCTTACTGTCTTTTTTTTTTTTATGCAGAGCACCTACGCTGTCTCCACACCTGCCTGGCTGATAACCCTACGAACCCTGGCCTTCCTCGCCTGTGCTTTTCTAGTCGCAGTGGCCATTTATGGATCTGAAGATTTGTCCTCTGTCTCCAACAGCTCTCAAACCCTGAGCGGAGGTGTTGCCCCACCCAAACGTGCACTTCAAAATGAAACTGAAGCCAAGGCCAACAACAGTACCAAAACCGTGCAAATGTGGAATGATCTGATGGGCCTTCTTCCAGAACAGGCTGTAGAAAATGTGAAGCTGATCTGGCAGTCTGGAAGCAACCACCAGATGGCTGTTGCTTCTGTTGGCCTTTTGACTTGCATAACTGGTGTCTTAATGGCAGGGCCTGTCAGGTGAAATGCATTTGCTTTGTCAGCACTGTCGTGTATTAACACATATAATTTGATAATTTGTGTGTATGTGTGGTTTCCTTGTTATGTGAATTTCTTCTTATCTGTCTTACTATGTGCTATTCTCTCGTGAAGGTTGAGGAGAATTGACGCCGTCGCCTCTTTCCTTTGGCTTCTGGTGTTATGCCTGTACGTGGCCGAGTGCTACCTCAAGACGGACACCCCTGTCTGGCTGGACACCATTAAGTTCGGCACCACCTCCTTGTGCTGCTTGGTTGGGTTTGCAGCTGCTGTGGCGACACGCAAGCCCACAAGTCCAAGAAGAACCAGAGGCCGCAGGTCAGAATCCGATCAGTGACACTTTACTGAGCCATTTTTAAGGACTAGCTAGGTCACAGATTAGAGGTTTATCCTCATTCATGGATTTCTGTTTCATTTGCTGTCTTCCTCTTCTCTCTCTTTCACTGACATAAACCTGTTGTACATTTGTTAGTCATTATCTACATCCTTCATGTAGCTGTCATCATTTTGGGTCTTGTAGCTTTAAGAACTGCATATTAGAGAAACAGTGGATCCAGGATTCTCCCACATGCATAATATGGTGATTCTTTGAAGGGTGCTGAATGGGAGTAAGTGTGGGGAAGACATAAATGTATAATTTTACTGAATGGAAGACGGATGACCACAATCTTGAACACAACTTGGATCGCATAATTACATGACATGGTCATGTCTTTATAGCTACAGTGTGTATAATTTTGGAATTTATAGATTGTCAATGGAGCACAAAAAATGTCCAAGGACTACCACAGGTATTGTTCTGATTATACAGTGCACTACTGTTACTGCTATTACTATAAACACTATTTTATTTATATATTTACCTTTATAAAGTAACATCAAAGTACTTTACAGTAAAAATATGAATAGATTAAATTGTGCTAAATAGTAAAACTTTAGTTGGCATTCTTAACATTTGGGAGAGAATTCTATTAACAAGGAACAAGAGAACGAAAACCCTGATCCCCATAGTCTGCAGATGTGCCTTTGGCACATAAAGGTAATTTGAGATGCCCAAACGAAGTGAGTAAACTTCACTTAATCAGAGCGTATAATTAATTATGTGGGCATTCATATTTCAGCAGAGAAACAAATGTAATTTTTACAAACATTCTATTCTAGTCTCAAAATATTTGTTGATTTTTAACTGGGAAAATCAAGTTGGATTTGTTTGGCAAGGGACAGCGGGCACAAACTAACAGATATTTAATGTAGATATTAAACAGCTTTACGTTCATTATGCTATTAGTCATGTTCTTGTATTCTCGTAGCAACACCCTGTCTGCAAATTTTAACAGCAGTCAGGCAGATATGTCTTCACCATTAAAAGAGATTTTATACTATAAAAATTACCTTATTCAATTTTTTTTTCATTTACTGGGTTGTGTGTGTAAGTCTCAGAATTTACACCTTTATTTTAATCAGTCTCTTGCAGGCTTAATGGTTGTTTTTCTGGGATGTGTCCATAACTCACTGTGAGAGCTAGCCAATCTAGTTTGAACACAGTGTAAGTCCATCCACAGTAAGCAATAAGAGAAGTTCGTGTCCTCCCTAATAAGTTCACAACAGTCCATTTTTACAAGCATATTAAAGATGTCATATAAAGAAAATATATTTTGATTGTGTGACTTTGTGATAACTTTTTGACTTGGTCTCTTTTCACTGGTCATATTTATTTTGATGAATATATTTATGTATTTATGCAGGAAGACTTGTCAGATTCAAACAACACAGAACTATATTGAGTTAACTAAGTCGATTTACAATTTCTACTTCATTAAAAATTGTTACATCCAGCCCCTTCGTCTGTTACGCTTAACCCTGCCTGTGGGGCAAGTTGTAACATTTGCAGTCACTCTGCTTTCAGCTGAACTGTTTGTTAACATTATGTGCTGGAAGCAAAACAATTGTAGCAGAGATTTATAGGTTGTTTGTATAAAATAATTCATAATCATTTAAAATAATTCTCAAATATTTGTAAAATTATTTAGCAAAACCAAAATGCATTCAACTGTGCCCTGCTGTCCCCTATCAAAGTCACAAACTTCTGACATCGTTCTGAAAAGCGTTCTCCTGCTGAAGCAGCCTAAACTGATAAGATAAGAAAATCCTTGATTAGTCCCACAACGGGAACTAGTAACGAGTCTCCAAATGACCATTCTCTGCACCACATTATCTGGTGTGCTTAGTTAGAGAAATGACCGTCCACAAGGACATTTTTAAAACACTTGAAACTTCACATATTTCATGAAAGATACAAAATATTCATAGGCACTACAGATTAATATTGGGTGCATCAGCACTTAAGTGAAATGAACTAATCTGTATGAGAAGTAATTAAGTGGTTTCTTTCACAATAGATTTAAAAAGTGCAGATATTGCTGAAATTGTTTATGAGCTGGTGTTAACAAGACAAAAAAAAAGTCTTTCCGTCTGCATTTCTGTTCACTACTTTCTAACTTATTTAATATTAGCCTGTATTCTTAAAGTTGGACTTCTAAGTAGGGGTGTAACGGTGCATCGAGATATTGTGATATTGAAATCCAAAAATGTGATAGTGTGTGTTGTGGAGAATGGACATGCTATTGATTGCATTGTTTGAGTGCAAGTTTGTAAACAAACATCAGTCAACAGCTCACTCCAGAATGTGTTAGTAAGCTGTACACCGACATTGATAGTCATCATTTTTCTTCACTCAAATTTTGTTTAGAATGTTGTGAGTGTTAAATCATGAACCCTCTATCGAGAGTCAAATCGAATATTTACACCCCCGCTTTTAAGATGTTGCTTTTATTAAAGGACACAATGCCTTACATGACGTCATTTTAAAGTAAATGTATTTTCTAAGAATTGTATCATGGGAGCATAAAATTGTTATACATTTATGGGAAACTACTTATATAACTGCTTTTTTAAACATTTTAATGTATTAGTGCTGACTTCATTCGCAAAAATAAGTGTAGGTGGAAAAGCACGACTGTAGAACTGTAGAGTTTTGTAGCTTTTACATTACTGTATCTCGCAAATAACTCATTTGAGCATTTGTAATGTGTTGCTGTGAAGTTAAAGGTCTAATAAGTAAGGAAAGTTAAAGTTCCTGATGCAGAATGCTCTTTGTTAGTGTTATGAATGGGATGATGCTTGAATCTCTTGTAGTAGCTGTAATTAATCATTGATCACTTCACAAATGTATTACCAAATGAAGATGTATTACTTATTGGACCTTTTTTGTATTATTTTTGCTCTGATTAATGTTTTAATGATTGTAAGTACAGTGTTAGACATTGTCCGCAGATGTCCGTCATAGATTTTGTCACTTTATGCAGCCTTTGTGAAAAAGAGCTTCCTGATACTGTTGCTCATTGCGTTCATAACAAATTAAACCCTGCTACACTACATTCTCAAATATAGCAAGTTTTTAGGTCTTAAAGCCTTAAAACCTTTTAGGATTTTTGCCATTAATCTTTTGGTTATTAACAGCTCTTGCTCACAAAAGGTTTGTTCCATCCCTTTACATGTTGCTAGATAACTTGAAATACAGCAGGCTGCCTAATTTATTCTGACTAAGCCTTTACCACTGTAATGGCATGTTTGGCTTACTAGTGATTGTGATACATTTATACACGTGACTGTAGATCCTTTGGTACCAAGTAGTGTGATTTTGATTCATATTTTTGTAGGTTCATTGTGCCAGACTACATTTGTTGTTGCAGTTCAAGTAAATGGTTGTAACCCTGCACTTAGATTTCATTGAGTATTGATTATTGATGTTTCAGTAATATGAATGATGTAATCTGGATTTGGTCATCATACAACATGAGAATTTCTATTGAATTTATAATCACACATGGCATTTTCGTTCACGGTTCCAGTAAGCTGGTATTTTCATTGTTTGTTTTCCACAATAAAAGTTCAGTACATATAAGCTTACAGAAAGATGTGAAACACAGGTTGACACTGATTCTGAAATTGTGACTTTCGTGTAATATGAAGAAAAACTTATTGTCAAAAAAAGCCGTCCTAAGATGAACGCTTGCTCTAATAATTATTGTTGTTTTTTTATTTTAATTATTATTGATTTCTAACCATGTTTTGGGCTGTTGTGTGTTATAAGTAAAGAAGCATGTTGGAATAAACTGTGTTTTCTTTCCTTTTTTATAAAAAAATATTTGTGTATGTTTTACCCTGCTATTGCAAATAAAGCACTGTAAAATTAGTGTTGTGTATTTTATGCCTTTGTATTAGACCTTTCTTGTGAACAATTTCCAATTAGGATCACCTACAAGCAAATTTGTTCAAATGAATAGTGGTTTTCCATAGTGATGTTGAGTCTTTTGCTATTCAGGATTATAGTCAGGCAGCTCAGTATGCTTTACAGTAGATTTTCATCTACAGCAGTGAAGGCTCATTTAACTTGGTATTTACTGTGACTATCAAGGCTTCTATAAGCCAGTCCTCTTTCCAATAAGACGCCTAATCAGCTAAAGTCATACACAATGTAATATTCATTGAATTAAATGACAAGTTTCAAGTTGTGAACAGAGACAGACAATAAGAAACGAGAGCTGTGGAGATGTGGAATGGACTGTACTCATGTCTTCATCTGTTTCAGGTATCTATCGGGCAGTTCTGTTGGGATGTGCTACAGTGGTCAGTCTTCCTTGCTGTCTGGATCCTCCACTTTTATCCCCACTCCTCCCCCCAACTTGCCACAACTCCTCGCCCACCAGCAAAGCCACAAAGCCCGCAAAGCCTCCCCTTCCTCTCTGCCGGGGCGTCTCAACAGAGCCCTCTCCCTGGGCACCATACCCTCACTTGCCCGAACAGGTGAGAATGCCTTTGGCTTTTTCTTTTTTTTCTTTCTTTTGTTGTCCTGTTGTATGGATGTGTTTGTTTTGATTTACTTTTTAAATGGCAACTCTTTTAAGATGGCAGGTCTGCTGTCCCTGCATTTTTGTAGCAGTGTATCTTTCCCACATGACACAGATTATGACATCTAATGCCATTTCACCAAAAGCTGCAAACAACTTAACTTGCAGCATATTCAGTGTCATGTCACACATTTATCTCCAGGCCACCCTCCTCCCAGCTCTAGTTTCATTAGAAAGTTGCACAACATGCGTACTCCATAAAAAGGGTGAACAATATGGCAAAAAGTATAACATCCAAATATTTCAAGACATTTTCTTGATGCGCTCTATTTATTTTTTCTGAGCAACCTTTATTGCCACATTAAAAAAAAACTACCCTGAACACAGTGTGTTTTTAACATTTTCAAATACTGTTTCAAATTAAACAGGACAAACTGTGCGCTCTTGGTAATGAAACAAGCAGTTGGTCAGTTTTTGTTTTAAGCACTGCTGGTGTCCACAGTATGCTTCATCACTTAAGGTGATGTGATTAAAATGTCATAATAAATATTGCCCACCCCTGGTCCATAGTATTTTTTTCCTTCATTCAATTTTTGCTCAAAGAATAATGACTTGAGTAATGAACACATTAAACACTGTGTTCTAAAGTTTGCACTTTTTTTAAACGCCAGTCCTACCTGAGCTCTTCCTTTCTCTGAACACGATTGACAGAAACATCAAGATGTATGCTGTCTCTTACAGTTAATAATTAATAACTGAGATAGTATCGCTGAAAAAAATGTGCTTGCTTGATAACATTACGATAGGTTTCTCTCAGCCCAGCAACCTCCTTTCTCAATCAACTGTTGATTTCTTAGACTTGAGTGTGTTTTCCCTTTATGCTTTAGTGTGGCTCACTGTTTATGCCTCATCTCAGGGAATTTGGGTTAAATTTTATATTCATGGTTGATTCAAAATCAAATGTTTCATGTTACACTGCTACATTAACTTTTTAAAGTTTGAAGGAGTTGATCTAGTGAAATTGGTTTGTACAGACTGTGCATGCCACTGTGTATCTGGCATGGCGCAGCGTCTGATGCTAAAAAACAGTAAAAATCTTGCAGACTCTGTATCTCCTCCATCTAGCAGAAGCCTGCCGTTGATTAATGAAACTAGCTATGATTGAGCATTGACTTTAAGCCAATAAATAGTGAGTGACTTTCCTAACCACTTTGAGCAGGTCAGGCCTAGGTGGTGCTTGTTCTTACTGATAAGGTCATGTTGATTGGCAGGTCTTAGAAGCATATAGTGTGTCAGAGAAACTGCCTGCATTTCTGTGAATCATGAGAAGAAGTAGGTCTGTGATGAAGAAGCATTCAATCAGAGGTTTTGTACTGTGTTCTTTATGTGGGCCTCGGGCTCTGGGCCAAGCTGCGAGAGGAGAGGCCCCATTTGCTGTCATGCAGAACTGTGAAGAGATGATGGGAAAGGTATGGGTCAGTGAGCGTATGAACAGAACAGGGAACCTGCCTCCGTCGTCACTTCAGATGTGGCCGCACCTAGCAGAGGAATTTTGCCTTCTGTTAAAAAACGACTGTCAAGTCAGGGTGAGAAATAGTCTCTTTTCTGTTACCTGCACGATGTAGGGATTTTCCCACCAGTAATGGGTTGTGGGTTACAGGAAGTTACCTTTAGTTGTATTATTTAGTGAAGAAAAGGTTGCGTCCTCAACTCCATCTTGCTTTGCTTGAACCAGAACGCAGTATGGGCTGATTCATGGGTGAACTGCACTGATGCATTTGTCTGGTTCTCGCTACAGTGGTTGTTGGTTGTGTTTTATGTGAGCAGGAAAGCTTTGCAGCGCACTCAGGCTTTTTAAAGCCATTAAAAGCCAGGGGTGGGGCTGGACTTAGGGAGTGGTGTTGAAATGATTGTTATGCCTTGGCTGATGGGAGTATGGTTTGTTTCATGTTGGGATCCTCAGATGAGACCATGGCAAACTACACTCTCCTGTAATCAGAGTCAGGCCCAGCAGGTGGGAGCCACTGCCTGCCTTTTGTAAGGTTGGCTTGCAGAGCTTTTAATTCATAATTTGACAGGACACTGTTAGTGCAGTCCTTAATTGTTAGTTAAGGGACTTTAAATAAACAAAATAGCTGCATAGTTAGAAATAGTTGAACTAATTCAATGAGTGGACAAAAACAATGGAATTGTCAAGTAAAGGACACCATTCTGAATCAGCTTGTCAACCTTTTTTAATAACATCAATACTAATAACATTTTAAAACCAGTGGGCTCACTGGACACCTTATTAGGTACATCTGCTTTGTATGTACAGTTATTGTCCATTTTATCAGGTCCTTTTACCATAAAGTTGCAATTATACCGTACAGTTGTAATTGTAGTGCCCCTACCACATCAGTGCCACTGCAGTGTTCAGAATGATCCAGCACCCAAATTATACCCGTTCAGTCGTGGTCGGGGAGAAAGAAGGCACTCTGTAGGGAAATGTACAGACATAAAATTTACGATACACATGATTATAAATTTAGTACAGAAATAATACAGTGTGTGTATGGACAGTAAATTGTGGCTCATTAAACTTACCCAGTTTATAACCTTTTTATACAAACTTTTTTACAATTCATACAATATGAATTAAGTTGAGATAAAAAGTGACGCATGTTTGAAGTGACCAGCATTTAAAGTTATTATTATTCCAGATAGATACAACACAAATGTATACAGTGAAGGATTAAGGGACTTGTACAAAGTGACCAGTAGATGATGAGCATATTAAGATGCTGAAGCACTAATATGAATAGAAAAATCAAAAATAAGTACCGACCACTGTGTTGATAACGTAAATAAGATGAACTGAAATGAGAATAGATATAAGTGAAATATAGTGGTGTGCGTGTTGTCTTAATAACTTGATATGGCAGATGAGAAACTCTGTAATAGGCATGAACAGATGCAGACAAAGTAGCTGCTAAAAAGTTAATAACTACTGAACGATGGCATCAGGATTGTCCAAAGCATTCACGTCACATTTGGTGACCCAATAAATGTGTGTCACAGCAGGATGCTCGAGTATCAGTGAACTGTTACTGTTTTTTGCACTGTATTAATCGACTTATAAAGATCTATACTTGTCTGAAACAGCTTTACCAAACACCACTAATTACAGGTGTGCACAAGGCTGCACATTGCAGGAACATTTCTGTATCACTCATCTCTGTTGAGGACGCCAAGTTTTTACAAGGTAAATCCTTTTATCAGGTCTTCTGCTGGCTCTCATCATCTGTCTCTTTGCAATTGGTCTCCAGTGATGTTGAGTGTTTTTGCATGGTTGCATTGCTATGTAGTTGAGGCACTGATGGCACCTGCCTGCGTGGAGGTAGATGTTTCTGGAATGATTGTTCAGACAGGGTTGACTGTAGGGTTAAACCCCCTGCACTCAATTTATTATTTTTTTTTTTGTTAATGGTGAATTTTAATATGGGTGGCTTTATATAATTATACAGACTGTAGTACAGAGTGCACATTTTTCCATTGAAAACAGACTTTCTCAGTACATCCTGAAAAACTTATTTGTGGTACGTTGCGTAGCTGCTTAGTTCGGTACATCATGAACGAGCTTGAACCTACTGCAGTCTAATATACTAAAATCGGCTAATGAGAAGATTTTGACGTCATGACACTACAGAACATGCCTGTGATAACATAGCTAACTTGTTTGAAATGTATGGCCTGTGCAGTAAGTGGTTAGCTACAATAAATAAATGATTCTGGTATGTTAAATTGGGATAGTGTGAAATTTATATTCCACAATTATCTAATAAATGTCAGTCACAGTGTGTAGAGCTGTTCTAGTAGCAGGTAGCATGCTACTATAGTAGGTTAACATGCTACTAGAACAGCTCTACACACTCAATTTGACAGTTTATTAGGTAGACGTGGAATATAAATTTGGCACCTTCATAATTTTAGATACCAGTGTCATTTATTTATCAGAGCTAACCACTAGCTCTAAATTATGAAGGTGTCAAATTTATATTCCACGTCTACCTAATAAACTGTCAAATAGAGCGTGTAGAGCTGTTCTATTAGCAGGTAGCATGCTACTGTACTAGCTTAACATACTACTATACTACTTAACATGCTACTGCTT